TATATATATATACATATATATTGCTCTCAAATTTGTAAGATTGCCATCAATAGGATTTTAAAAACTAAAAAATGGTCATAAGAATTCCATAATATCTTGAAAATCATGAAGAGCTGCGTTACAAAAACATTCAGAACCGTATTCCATCTCCGGCAAAAAGGTAGCTCAGATGCCTTGGACAACTCTTTTCCATACGACACTGCATATTATTGTGTATAAAACACAATAAAAAACAAAATAGTAATTAATGTACCTCTTCTTTCGCATATAGATTCCTATAAAACATTCCTCGCAGAATTCCCAATCTCCTCGCGAGAAATGCATTTTCAGCATTAGATAGATGTTCACATGAACTGCAGTCGATCGAATGAACATCAACTGAAACAAAAAAAAAAAGAAGAAGAAATCCTCCAAGAGAATAATGCGAGGAATTCTTTTAAAAGAATTTTGTCTCCATCGTCCGCTTAAACAACGATTATGGTACATGGAAAAACAAAGGGGTAAGAATTGATAACCAACCAAACATTTTACGTCAATGCAGCAAACCCTCCACCTCTCATCATCTGCTTAAACTCCTTAAAATTAACCATCCCATCTCCGTCCGCATCAACATTCCGTATCATTTGCCGGCAAGCTTCCACCGTCCTCCCCTGCTTTAATCCAAGTGAAGAGAGCACAGATCGAAGCTCCTCGACGCTTATGAAGCCGTCGCCATTCTGGTCGAAGACATTGAACGCCTCTCGCATATCTTCCTCTTCATCTTCATCGCCGCCGCGCTCGTCCATAATGGTCTCATAGAGAACGCCAAACTCGTCGATGTCGATGCAACCGTCGCCATTGGCGTCGATCTTGTCGATCATGGATTGAAGCTCGGTGTCGGGGATGTGGATGCCGAGGTTGCGTAGGGAGTCGCTTAGTTCTTTTTTGGTGATGGAGCCGTCCCCATTGCGATCGAACAACTGGAAGACGCGTTTTAGATCGGCGGAGTCCATGTGGTGTTGATTTCGATGGAGGGAAGGAAATAGGGATGAGAGGAAGGGGGAAGTGTGATTTAAGAAGGGGGCAAAAGGTAGTGAAGTTGGGGATGCTAGGGATTGATGGAGACAGGTTGTCCGCCGGTTCGGGAGGTTAAAATTAGGGTTTCCCACGCGGGTTGCCAACGGCGAGGCGTTGCAAGCCACCCTGTTGAACGGAATGGTAATAAATGAAAGGGATTTACGTTAAGTATTGAAAAATTTCTACGTATTTTATATTTAATATTTAGATTTGATATTTATTTATATAATATTAAAAAAATAAATTAAGTTTGACGCCTAATTTTATTATTTAACATTTATGGATCTCGAGAATTTTTTGGTTAATAATTATTCAAAATTAAATTTAAAATAATATCTAGAATTTCGATTTAAGAAAATTTAAAG